TGGGAAACCTGTGGGCTCAACCGTCCGTGCGCCCGCGCGGCTTGGAGGGGAGCGGGGAGGGAGCAGAGCCGAGCTCTCCCCCCGGATTGGAGTCATGTGTCCCGTTCTGCAGGCGTACGGGCTGCTCGCCCTGTCCTGAAAGTGCCACAGCCCCTCAGGGGGCTGGGGTGGTGGAGAGCAAGCGTGTACACCTGTGTCTCTGTGTGTGTACATGTGTGTGTGTGTACATGTGTGTGTACACGTGTGTGTGCCCGTGTTCATCTTCCTCCCCTTCCGCTTTGAGTTCTCATCCCGTTCACTCACACGTTCCCTCTTGGCCTCCTTTGTTGCTGAATTTGTTGCAGGATTGAGTTGACATCTCATTTTTGTTTTTCCTTTCAGCATTTCATGTCCCTTTGTCCCCTGTGGAAGGTAAAAGGCCTCTTCTTTTTGTTTGCCATTCACCTCATGCGCTCAGTTTTATTTTGTGCCCCTGAACTACCCCAGCGTTGGCGCGCCGGGTGTTGGGGTGGGCTCAGGTGGGTGCCGCGGGGGCCGGGAGGAGGGCTGCCCGCAGCGGCCGGCCGTCCTGCCCCGTGCTCGGGCACCCCAGGCGCCTGCTCAGCACCTCTCCGCGAGGAGGCTGGCGGAGAAGCCCCCTGGGAGAGCGGTCGCGGTGCCAGCGGCACCTTCGCCTCCGCAGCCCGAGCTGGATGGGGCTCCGCGGTGCCGCAGGGTGGGCGGCAGCACCGGCATCTCCGGCCCAGCCCGGTCTCACTGGGGCTGCCCCCTTGCTTTCGCCCCAGCAGTCAAACCCGGCAATGTGAGGAACATTATCCAGCACTTTGAGAACAACCAGCATTACGAGAGCCAGGAGCCCGGCACCCAGCGTCTCTCCACCGGCAGCTTCCCCGAGGACCTGCTGGAGTCAGACAGGTAGGGCAGGGAGATTCCTGGAGGGCAGCCCGTGCTCTCAAGGGGTCCCACCGCAGGGACCCCTTGGTGGGTTTGCGTGCGTGGAGACATCCCTGCCCGTCCCACCGGGCTCAGGCTGTTCTCGGCTTTGTCTCCCTGCTGCAGCTCCCGTGCCGAGGTCAAGCTGGGCCGCTCGGAGAGCTTGAAAGGCCGGGAGGAGATGAAGAAATCCCGGAAAGCAGAAAACGTACCTCGGTCCCGTAGCGATGTGGACATGGATGCCGCAGCTGAGGCCACGAGGCTTCACCAGTCGGCGTCGTCTTCTGCTTCCAGCCTGTCCACAAGGTGGGAGACGCCATCCCAGGGAGGACCTGGCTTCTCCTGGCCTCGTTTGGCTTCAGGGGGGAGCTGGGATGGCCGGGGGTCTGAAAGCTGAACCCTGTGGGCTGAAACACCTGGCTCCTGGGAGAGCTTTTGCTAAGCCTGTGGGTCAAGGCTAAGCCTCAGCCCCAGGTGGCCCTGGCCCAGCAGCACCCAGCTGCCTGCAGAGCCTCCTGGCCGACCTTTGCCAGGGGAAGAGAGTGAAAATTGGGCTTTAATCTCCATTTGTGCCCCAAAGCCCCCTCGCAGCCGGTAGCGCCAGACCCACGTCTGGAGGGGCTTGCAGAAGCGCTGCTGGGTGCTGCCCCACAGGGTGCCGCGGTGGGGGGAGAGGGGCCAGGATGTCAGGACGCGAGGGTGACTCTCCCATCCGTCCCCCAGGTCGCTGGAAAATCCCACCCCTCCGTACACGCCAAAGATGGGCCGCAGGTGAGTGGCCCAGCCTCGGTCTCTGCCGTCTCTACCGCGCCGCCCCGAGCCGGCTGGGGTCCTTGGGGCCAGTTTTCCTTCAGAGCAGGAGGGTCACTGTAGGGGTGTGCTGGGGCTGTGCCCCTGCTGTTGGGGGTCAGAGGGGCTCCAGCGGTGCCTTCCCAGCTTTTCCCTCCCCGTAAGCGAGCCTCGACAGAGCACAAGGGGAGGCGATGCCCAGGGCTGCCCCGGGAGGGAGTCCCCCGTTAGGTTCTCCATCCTCCTGGGGCGAGGGGGCACCTCTGTTCCCTTGTGTCTCACGCAGGAGCTTAAAGGACCTATATAGATGTCTGCTGGGGGACCTAGTCTTTAGCTCAAGAGTCAGAGGCTTGTACTTCTTGTGCTGAAGGCCCCGGGTTCAAGCCGAAATAGGGCCCAGGTAGATATTGGCTGTACTGGGAGCGCTGCGGGGTGGGCTGGCTGGATGCGGGTGGCTGCAGAGTACTCCCACCGCCACCTTTCACCCTCCCAGGAGCATCGAGTCGCCCAACTTGGGTTTCGGCGTGGACCCCTTCCTGCCTCATCTCCTGGAGGACGAGCAGGGCCAGCTCTCCGACCTGGAGCCCGAGCTGGACTCCCAGAACTGGCAGCACACGGTCAGCCGGGAGCTGGTGGCCAACCTGCCCCAGAAGGAGATCGACCGGCAGGAGGTGATCAACGGTGAGGAGGCAGGGGGCATCCCAGGGACGCGAGGGACCCCCCCGGCAGCACACCCCGGCACCGCGGGGCTCTCCTGGGCGCTTCTCCACCCCCGTGCCTTTCGCGCAGAGCTCTTTGCCACCGAAGGCTCTCACCTCCGCATCCTCCGAGTTCTCGACCTCCTCTTTTACCAGCGGATGAAGAAGGAGAGCCTGCTGTCCCGGGAGGAGCTGGTGCTCCTCTTCCCCAACCTCCCTGACCTGATAGAAATCCACAGTAAGCCTCTTCCTGCTCGGATCCTGCTTTCCCCTGGAAACAATCCCCTGCAGTGGGAGCAGAGGGTGCCCAGGGCTCTGGTGTGGTCACCCACCGTCGGGACCAG